GCTTTTTGCTTTTTAAAGAATATAAATTAAATAATTGTTTTGGTCTTTTTGAGACAGGGTCTCCCTGTAGCCCCAGCCAGCCTGGAACTCACTATGTAGACCAGGCTGGCCTTGAACTTACAAAGATCTTCTTGCCTCTGCCTCCCAAGTGCTGAGATCAAAGGTGCAAGGCACCACGCCCAGCTTAAATAAATAAAGTTTTGGACTGGTGTGGTGGTGAACATCTTAAATCCCAGCATTCAGGAGGCAGAGGGAGGCAGATCTCTGTGAGTTCAAGGCCACTAGTTTACATAGTGATTTCCAGGTCAGCCAGGGCTACATAATGAGACCTTGTCTCAACAAACATGCAAAGCAAAACCAAAATAATATTCAAAATGAATTTTGCTTTTTCACAGTACTGGGGATTGAACCTAAGGCCTTGCATATACTAGGCAAGTGCTCTACCCTTGAGCTATATACCCAGCCCTCTTTTTCTATTTTGATACAGGGTCTTATTTAGTTGCCTAGGCTGGCCTTGAACCCATTCTGTAGTCTAAGAGGGCCTTAAACTTTCAATCTTCTTGCCTCAGCCTCCCAAGTAGCTTGGATTAGAGGTTTGTACCAGGTCTATTTGTGTTTACTTTTCTTAAAAAGAAAAAAAACCAAACTCTGTTATTACAATTTTATTTTGTGTGTGTGCATATATACATGGGCCAGTGGGTGAGTGGGTACCTGTATCACAGCTCATGCAAGTGAAGGTCAGGGGACAACTTGTGGGAGTCATTTCTTTCCTTCCACCATGTGGATCTCAGGACTCAAACTTGGGTTGTTAGCAGTAAGCACCTTTACCCACTGAACATTCTTGCAGGCCATGTTTGCTTTTAAAAGCATTCTTCCTGTTGGAGATTAGTTCCTTTGCCTATATGGGTTTGAAGAGGAATTAGGTGCTGGGGACAGACCCAAGGTCTCATTCATATTAGGGAAGATCTACCACTGATCTATGCCTACCCCAAGCCCACTCAAATTATTTATTAAATGATTAAGTGGTTACAAATTAAATGATTGAGTGAGACTATTCTCTTCCATATATATTCAATTCAGTTCTAGAACAAACACAGAAAAGAATATATTACTATTTGTTGGGGAAATGACTGTCATTAAAGTGCTTGCTGAGCAAGCATGAAAACTCGAGTTCAGATCCTCAGCACCATGAAAACACTTTTTTAAAAAGTCTACTGGATGTGGTGCTACACCCCTTAAACCTAACACTCAGGAGGTAGAGGCAGGCATACCCCTTTGAGTTTGAGGCTAGCCTGGTTTACATAATGAGTTCAGACTGGCTAGAACTACATAGGAAGATCCTGTCAAAAAAAAAAAAATAGTAAGGAGGCATGGTGGTGTACACCTGAAAACCCAGCACTGGGGAAGTGGAAATAAGACAAGAGGACCCCTAGCCTAGGCAGATGAGCTCCAGGTTCCGTGAGAGACTCTCAGAAACTAAGGTGGATGGTTCACTTTGGTAGCACATATACTAAAATTAGAAAGATACAAAGATTAGCATGGCCCCTGGGAAAAGATGACACACAAATTTGTAAAGAGTTCCATATTTAAAAACAAGCTAAAGTGGAGGGCTGGAGAGATAGCTCAGCAGTTAAGAGCACTGGCTGCTCTTCCAGAGGACCCAGGTTTGGCTCCCAGCACCCACATGATGGCTAACAACCATCTGTAACTCCAGTTCCAGAGGATCTGACACCATCTTCTGACCGCCGAGTGTATTGCAGTACACGGGTGCACTTACATACATGTAGGCATTACATTCATACACATTTAATAGTTTTTTTGTTGTTTTGTTTTTTGTTTTGGTCTTTTTGAGACAGGGTCTCCCTGTAGCCCCAGCTGTCCTGAAATTCACTATGTAGACCAGGCTGGCCTTGAACTCACAGGGATCCACCTGCCTCTGCCTTCCGAGTGCTGGGATTAAAGGCGTGCGCCACCATGCCTGGCCAAAATAGTATTTCTTAAAAGTGGTTTTTAAATCTTTCACAAGTAGTGCTAGACTTGGTGATGTATGCCTTTAGTCCCAGCACTCAAGAGGCAAAGGCAGGCAGACCTCAGTGAGATCTAGCCTGGTCTACATAGTAAGTTCCAGGCTAGCTAGGGCTACAGGGAGACCTTGTCTCAAAAAAACAAAACAACAAAAAGAATTCTTCACAACTTAAACTTGCTGAAATGTTTTAAAATTTTATCAAGTAATTTAAAAAATCCATTTTTGGATGTTTTTACAGCTTACTCTGGCTTGTTCTCGAAGTTCATCCACAATTAAGCGATCAACTCTAGATGGGTTGGAGGTCAGTCTTGGAATTGGAGTATTATTAGTACTGGATACTTTTTTTCCTGGATAATTCTTGGCAAGGGCTAATTCAGTCTGTAAAATATAATTTTTAGGAGCTGAATTTTAAAAATATGATTCCACTGTGAATAATATTTTTAGTAGCTGTAAAAAATAAAGAGAAAATTTGTCCCATTAAATATAAATTCTATTTTGGTGTCAAAAGTCAACAAATATAAACTTTAGTTGTATGTTAACTTAGAAAATGAAAAAAAAAAAAAACCCTGCAGTACTATAGTATTTTTTTCATACTTATTATAAACACTTGGATACACCCCAACAATTTAATACTAAAAAATAAAACATTGCACAACATGGGTGCACTCACCTACATGCAGGAAATATACACATACACATAAAAATAATAAATGAAATTTTAAGAAAAGTGTTAAAAGAAAATCCAAACATCACGATAGTTGAACCAAAATCATCCAAAGCTGAAACACCATTGTTTTTGAAGAACAGGTTATATTAATATATAATTTTTATATAAAAATTAGAGACAACATGTTTCAAAATTTTGAGCTTTCAGTCTTTAAGTAACCTAGCTAATTCCTTATAGCAATGAATTTGAACACTGTATAGAACAGAAAAATTCACCTTAGAAAAAGGGAAGCACTCTTAAAACCACACTAAGGAAAACAACATAAAGGCAAGCAAAAGGAACATACTGTTACTTCTAGTGAGTAGTTCTTTGTTACCTTTTTTCTCTCCTTTTCTAATGCTCTCCACTGTTCATAGCACTCTTCTAGACAAATATGAAGCTCACTAGCTGGTCCACTACGGGTTTTATTTGGTCTTTGGAATCCAAAAGTTGGCACAAAACCAGAAAAGGAATTATCACCATACATCATATCATTAAAATAAGGATATAAATGGCTTAAGTCATCATAAGAAAACAAGTCATAGGAATCCAACATTGGAACAACTGAGTGGCCAAATGGGTGGGTAGATCTTAGGGGAAACCCATTTGAACCAAGTTGTTGAAAACCTTGATTATGTCGTAAATCTCCCATCATATAATTATTAGAAAAGCATGAGGCCTGTGTGCGATTCACACGGCTATTAATATTGCTGTCTCCACTTCCTTGTCTGTGGCCATTAAAATGACCCTGTGACTCCAGCAGATCTTGATATGTATTTTGTGGTAACCCATCAAAATGCTTTGGAACTTCTTCAGGATCATAATGTCCACTCTGGGACTTGGCTTGAAAATTATGCTTGTTGACATTTTCAATTATCCTATACTGTGAAGCTGAATAGTTATCACAAAACCCATTTGGCTGCTTTATTTTTTTATCTGTAACCGATTCAAAGAAATTTTCTTCTCCAGTCTTTGCTAGTCCTTCCATGTGATTGACAGACTGAATTCTTTCTGCACCATTGTAACTGAAATCAAAACTAGAAAATGCTGAAGGATTTTCTTGGCAATATTTCTGAAACAAATTGCTATTTGAGGTTAAATTGGTAGATGATAGTTGGGGGAAATCTGGAGAGTGGTTAGAACCTTTTGAAGCTGCGTTTAAATGACTGTTTAATTTCATCAAGTTACCTTGATTTCGATAAGGAATAGGAAGGTTATTTTTTGTTTGAACATTCATCCAAGTTGGTCTGTTTAAACTGATACCTCTTGAAGGTGTTGCCGAATTTGTAAATAAATTCGCTGATTTAAAATATTCAGAATTTAGGGGATCAGGTTTAGCAAACTGTTGCTTTTCAGTGACATTAGCAAAATCATTATTAGGTGGACAAGCTGTGTGAGGTTTTAGTCCATATTCTGATTTTAAGCCAAAATCAGCAGTGAATGCTGCTTCCTTTACAAACTGTTTTTCTGTCAGATGTGGTGTTTTTGGAAATGCAAAATTCTGCTGGTCAGGTATTGTCTCCTCCATTTTTTTCTGATTTGCTGGTTTAACTTGAAATAACTTTGTATAGGCATCTGTGTCCACAGTTGGTGTTTCAGGTGTGCCGTTGGCTAATTTTTTACCGTCTTGGACACTGAAATTTGAACATTTGTTAATCTTTGCCTTATTAGGATGAGCATATTCTGGGTATCTACAATAATCTGCATTTTCCTTATATTTATTAAGTTGAGAAAGAAATATCTCTGCCCTTTTATGTTGTAATGGTGCTTCAAGACCTTTAGCACATATTTTCTCTCTTCCGTAAAGGTAAGTATCAATTCCTGATTCTTTCATGATATCAGACAGACCAGTTTGTGGTGTAAAACAGTTTTTGATAAATGGATATTCTTGGAATGTTGCCTTAACTGTATCATTTTTCTGAATATTATAACAGTTAGAATTATCACTTCTTGAGAGGTACAGCCATTGTTCTTCAAGGTCTAAACCAGTATATCTATGATAAAGTTCATCTGTTTTCTGTTGTGGTATGAGATTACTATTATGCAGATATTGTTTTTCCGTTGCTGATACAGATTCACCACTATAAAAAGCTTGCTGAGAGATAGCCGTTTCTATTGGCCTTTTGGTTTCTGTTAAGAGATCATGGTGATCTATGAATTTGCTTGTGTTCCTTGGCCAAACTGACTTTAAATTGGAGGAGCAGATCCTAGAACAAGTAAACACATTTAATTACAACTAAAGTTTTAGAGACTTTGTTTCTTCTGGAAATGTTTCAAAAATATTTCTCTTGCTACACACACTTCACCACTCTCAAATCATTCCCAGCCCTTACTTATAATTTTCCTTCCAAATAATTCTCTTATCACATGAAATGTGCTCTATGCATTTAGAGTCATTAGCCAAATAAGGATGTGTCAATAACAGGCCACATATATGGTGGTGGTCTAAGATTACAATGGAGTTGGAAAATTCCTCTAGCCCTAGTGGCATAGCACAAGGTATTAGTTTGTGGGGCTGGTGTAAACAAGCCTACTGCACCGCCACACACATAACAACAGTATAGGACATAGTTAGGTATAGCATGTAATACTAGATAATAATACATGACTATGCACTTACTATAGACTATTTTTATTGTTAGAGTGTATGCCTATTTGTTTTATTGATTGATTTATTTTTATTTATTATTTTTATTTTATGTGTGTATTGCCTGAATGTAGGTAAGTGTACCCGTGTTGTGCAGTGCCTACAGAGGTCAGAAGAGGGTGTTGGATCCTCTGGGACTGGAGTTATGGACAGTTGTTAGCTGCCTTGTGAGTGTTGGGATTTGAACCTGGGGTTTCTGCAAGAACAACCAGTGTTCTGAATTGCTGAGCCATCTCTCCAGCCTGCCAATTTGTTTTAAAAAATAAAATTTTTACATAATGGTATGCTGTTACACAAGTACAGTCTTATATATTTCATAATTACCTTGTCTCTCATTTCTCTCATTTTTGGTTTATCTGTGGACGGAGTCTTACTATATAGCCACAGTCAGCCTCAAACTATCTAAACGCACTAAGTAGCCAAGGCTGGCCTCCAACTTTTGATCCTAATGCCTCAACATCCCAGTGCTGGTATTATAGGCACATGCTGGCCCAGCACTTCATGCTTACCATGTCTTCTGACTGCATCAAGAAGCCATGTTGAATGATTGGCCTACACCATCTCCCCCCCACACTTTTTTTTGTCTTTTTGAGACAGGGTCTCCCTATAGCCCCAGCTGTCCTGGAACTCACTATGTAGACCAGCCTGGCCTTGAACTCACAGAAATCTGCCTGCCTCTGCCTCCTGAGTATCTCCCTTTATGTAAGGATTCTGTCCCCACAGTAGTGAACTCATTTAATGATGCACTTTTTGGAACCTGCCCTCATCATTAAGCAATGCACAACTATATGCATTTTAACTTTAATGTCTTCACCACACTTTCTCAAGAGTCTGACCAAAGCCTGAGGCAGGTGACTTAAGGAACTTAGATGAATTGCTTATATAAGCAGAGAATAAGTTTTTCCTTTGAATAGGTTATTATATAATTCAAAAATGTTGTTGACCACAATTTTAATGGAAAAAGATGAGCTTTTCCTAAAATATTTTTTAAACTAAATATTTTAACTAGTTGCATGTGTATATAGCATACTTCCTTATTTATTAATAGGGCATTTGGGTAATATGGCTTCCACACCCAAATAAAACAGTTAAAACATAATTTTAAAACTTCTAACACATAAATAAAATCCATATGCATTTCTGAAATGAGTAATGAGTTTTATCCTTCAAGATTTATGCTTAAAGCTTCTTGGAACTTACGTCCTTTAAGC